TTCCAACCCTACTAACTATGAAACTATGAAGCTGCAGCCTGCAGTTTGACAAGCAGGGCTGGAGATGGGTGGGAACTGAACAAATGTATTTCAACCATACGTGTGTTTATTTCCACTTGAGAACTTTGCACCATATATTGCTGGAAAGCCCATGGTCACAACAGAGCACTGGTCCAGACACCATGCCACAGGGGTGCCCTAATGATCAGCTGATCTCTCTACCCCGTGTGAAATACTTTTGTGGTGCTGGATTTAGCACTAAGGGCACTGGACAGCCGTGAAAATGGCAGAACACATATAGGTAGAGCAGTGTAATTTCCCCTCCTCCTTTCTGCCCAGCATGCCTCAGCTTTAAGCTGGGAGAGGACCGCTTTTTCTGGCGAAAGGCAGTTCACCCTGTAGAGCCTTTCAGACCTTGGCCACGCTGCTGAAATTGCCAGTAAAATGGCTGATGCACTGTAACAGGAGTGCTGCTGAATATTCACCCGCAAGAAGCTAGTCTGAAGCCGTCAGACTAGTTGCCCCCCTTATATGTGGGACTTGGGAGTGGCAGGATTCATTTCCCCAAGCCCAGAGAAGCTCGGGAGAAGCCATCGCTCTCTCAGGCTTTTCAGAGCCAAGCCTGCATTCCCCTTCCTTTGAGCCCCTCCTCCAGTAGCAGGAACTGGAGCGGGCTGCGCTACCAGGAATGAACCAGCAAATGCAAAGAACGCTCCACCACATGTCGCTCACTGCTGCCCGCTTACGGTCCTTTGGAAACATGGTGCCTGTTGCTAATGCTGCTTTCTGAAGGATGTATGTTTGAAAACCTTTGCCAAGAAGGAACCTAGTGCAAATGAGCTATTAAACTTGGATATCCTGAAGAAAAAATATTTACAGAGGAAACTCCTTAAAGGGCTATGTGCCAGTGGAATAACCCTGGTAGCAGGCTATTTTTCTGCGTGCTGGAAGGTATGTGCTTAGCAGGTTCCATGCCCCTATGTTTTATACATGCTTAAGGAGGGTGAAAAAATTGCTCAGTAAAACTCCATTAAAGCATAAACAGGCAAGGCTGGTGACCTCTCTGGAATAACTGAGTGGGCTAGTCTCACTTTGTTATTTGTGTAGCCAGTTGAAAGCCCCGACTAGCACGGAGGGGGCAAGAACCCACGGAGGAGAGTAGACTCCTTCTTCTAAGTGGTGTAGGCTCAGCAAAACAACTTGCTCTGCTGAGAAGCAGTAAGAAGGTCACACACAAAGCCAGGCTAGACACGGGAGCAACTGGACACACACAAAAAAGCAAAAAGGACATGAATATTGGTAGTGTACGAAGCTTCTCCTGCTGGGGGAGCTAGTGCACTTGTGTTTGCACAGAACGCGTGCTTGTGTTCCCAGGGATTAGTCATGCACAACCCACAAAAGGGTTGGAATATGTATCCTGTTCTCATAAGTGTCCAGGACTTTGGATGCTTAGCTGAAGCATATACAAACATGCACAAGGCAAAGTTGGGAAAGATGTGTGCTGAGAAAGTACCTCATCCCAACACCTCGGCATCCTACAGGGAAGGTCCTATGAGACTTGGGTGTGTTTCATCCTAGAAACCCGAGGAAAGAAAACTTAGCAGATTCTTTTGGACGCTTCAAGGTGAATTGAATTCTATGCTCAGTTCCAAAACTGGGCAAAAGGTGTGGGACCAGTTCTAATTTTTCTCTCTCTCACCACGACTCTGCTGGAAATGGGATGTCTAAAGAGACTGTAGAGGGTCTGCAAGTCCAGACATGGGCTTTTACCCACTCTTCCCCCCTCCCCAAAATCCTCTCTTCTTCTTCTTCCTCCTCACACTCTCTCACCCCCAGTTAAATAGCCTTGCTGCCTGCTAGCATGCTACAAATCTTGCAGCTAGCCAAAGAAGATTTTGCTTCTTCACTGTGGGTAAAAGTTTTTTCTCACTCTTTGATGACTGTTTTCAGGACACAGCAGCCCCTATTCCCATTTCTTGGTTCAAATGCATTTACCAAGTTCTGGGAATGTGGCATTGAGCAAAATGTAAAACAGACTGGTGGTGTTCCAGCTGAAGGGCTTGCTGAATGCCAGATCCCAATTCAAACAGAGCAGACAAAAGAGTCACAAATTACTGCAAATCTGCTCCCATCCAATTTACTAATTAAACATCATTTACTGAACAGTAAGTGCCTAATTGAAGGAGCTGAGCCACAGCAGCAAAGGTTTTGTGGGGACAAGGACTTCTGCTATTTCAAGAGGCAACATTGTCTTTTGTCTTGTCAAGAGATGAGACTAAAATAAGGAAGACTGCTGAACCCATCTGCCAACAGCACAATGATAAAGCACCTTCCAGGACAGAAAAGGAGCTCGCTGGACAGCAAAATCTATTGCTTTGCTTAGCCCTAATTTTGCAAGTCTCTTCACTTTGTGAAGGCTGGATCTGGTTTTCACCTGTATTAAAGTCGCATTTCAATTATTCACACTACAGCTGGCAAGAACATCCCTGCCTCTCTAGGTACTTATTATCCCATCACCATAGTTTCCAAGTCGTTTTTCTGAATGGAAAGAATGTCAAAGGCTGATGCTTGGTTCACTACCCCGGTGCGTTCCCTCTTCACACATGGGGAAGAAACACTGAGCTTTTTGTCATTTTTGACCAGACAATCGCAGTCAGTAAACCGAAAGGAAAGGTAACTGGCAGGAAAATGTGACCACAGAGCAGTTCTGTGTAAGAGGATACACCAAGAAGCATGGCTGGTATGGTACAGACACCCTGACCTAAAAGCTCACACCAGACCGTACAAAAGGGATACAGAGCCTTTTCACTTCAAAGCACCCTGTTCAAATCCTGCCTTGGTCTGTAGTGACTGAAAGTCAAAGTCTATTGGCCTGTGTGAAATAACTCATGGTTTCAGTCCAGTGCCTACCGGACAACTGTCCACATCACAAAACCCACCATCACCTGGCAGTCAAGTTTAATACCCTGATCTCTCCAACTCCTCCTTTCCTTGCCAATGGATCTCCACCCCTGTTTACATCATGGCAAAACAACTGCAAAGCTTATGCTAATAGAAGAGCCAGTGATCACTTTATATATCTCTGGGGGTGTTATTTTCTAGGCCCTTCTTTGGGGTCTTGTTATGGCTGGAAGGATAACATTAACAATGCACCCTCCAGACTTTAGTTTATGGAGAAAATATGCTTTTAAATAAAACAAGATTTAGGAATAACCTCTGCTTTCACTTAGATACACATATTAAACCAGAGCAACACCATTTTCATTGATTATTACTATTGTCTGTGTTACATCAGCATCAGCAGGCCTCAGCTGACATCAGGGCTCCCAGTGTACTAGGAGCTAAGCCAGGTTTATACCACCTCTCCACCAGTTCTGGAATCACTGCCAACAAATAAGTCTGACCTGCATTCACTCCTGCTCCACCTGCACCCAAGCCAGGTAAGGGGGTCAAGTAGGTAACTTCGTGGGCCCTGAGGGTACACTTCAGCACTTCTTGGGCTTTCCTGAAAACAGTGCTGGAGCATGCTCAGGACCTCTCCAAACTTTCTGGCTCACATAATTGGTAGGTCTGGGCTCAGGTCCAGTGGGAGTGAGTGGGCTGGGCTTGCTTCATAACAGCAGTCCTGGGTACAGCAGGGAGGCAGTACAGATCTGGCTATAGAGGCAGGGCCTTTCCTGGGTAGTGAGCATTTCTAGTACACAAGAAACAAAGGACAGGAGGAAGGAAACAGTTTTCTACCTGCTACAGAGGTGGGGAACCAAGAGACAGCAAGCCCCAAATCCTCAAAAGTATTTATTACTGATTCACTGGGAGTAAAGCATCTGAACAGGAGTTAGGTGCCTAAATACCGCTGAGGATCTGGGCCTAAATGACTTGCCAAAGCCAAGCAGGAAATCTGTGTTAGAACCAGAAATGGAAATTGGAACAGGAGTCCTGAATAAAAGAAATCCTTTCATTTGAATCCCAAATAACAGAAACATTTCCTCTTCGTCTCTGAAATATGCCCATAGTATTTTTTCTGTGAGGAGGCAAAGAAGGAGTATCCCTCTACTGCTCTATGTTTCCCTTACAGTCTGACCCGTAAAAGTGGGGACTCTGAATAATTCAATTCCTTGCCGCGGCTGACTGACATATCTGTGAATTCTCTTTTTCCCCCCCCTTTCATTTTTTGTTGTTGTTGCTTTATTTTTACTTTCAGTCCAACTGCAGCTAAGCGCGGAAAGCGTGGGTGTAGTGTATATAAAGAGCACCAAGTCTGGACAGTACTTGGCTATGGACACCAATGGCCTTTTATATGGATCAGTAAGTATGAGGTTTGCGTGGTCCCAGACATGGAGAGGGTTTGAGGTTAGCAGAAATCTTGCAGCCCTGAGTAATGGAACCCACACAAGCAACAATTAGTCTGTTTGTTATTTTTGCAGCTGGATTGCCACGCTTTGCCCAAGTTTATTTTTGGGAAAATAAATAAATAAATAAACCCCATTGCAGCATTGCTTCAAAATATTCAATACGTCCCAATTCCTATTTTAGCAGCAGCAATAGCAGCAGCATTAACCTGTCTCTTTTGCTGAGAGTTCTCAGAGACAGACCCTGGGAAGGGCACTGTATAGGCAAAACAGATGACAGTGGAGGTTTACCAGGGTTTGCCACAACCCTGTTTTATAAAACCCACTGGTTAGCATGCGTGACATGAGACTAGGCTGGTGACCATATGACTTGATTTGGCTGGAATCAGGAAGTGCCACTCCACCTCCCCGCCACGCTCTGGCCCAGGACTTTTGAACAGCCTGCAAAACCCAGGAGTGTCATGGCCAAATCAGAACATGTGGTCATCCTACAGAGGACCCTTCATTCTGCACTGTGAGTGGGTCACTGTATCCTGCAACTGCTAAGTGAATCTGATGCCTAGGATCAGTGCCAAATTGAGGCAAAGCTTCTGGTTCTGATCAGCTTTGCTGAATTCCTTATTCAGTGCGTGGCATTCAAGGGCTGAAAGTGCTCGTGAATTCACCTTAGAGATCTCCTCCGCAGTTGCACCTAGCACCTCAGCAGCTGTAGGAAAGGTGACCAACTGCACTGACTTGGATGGAATTAAACCAGGAATGAATGTGGCCCATTATATTTAAAAACACAGGACATCTGACTGGAGGGGACCTCCCGAGTCAGCAAGCTACTGTCTCACAATCCCATTCATAAACTTCCCAACCTATACCCGAAATTTAGTGAAAGTCCACTCTAGGTGCAGTTGAGCAGGTGGGGCGCACTGCCAGGGGAACTGTTTTCAGAAAGGACAGTATCCCAGCCCTGTTGCCACTGACTAAAAGGCAGGTGCCACGAACAAGTTACTGTGATGTCAAGAGAAATTTGGGAATCCAAAGAAAACTACTTTGCAGAAAAAAACTTGCTCTGCTTTTGAGCCATGTCAATAAAAAGGAACCCAGGTCAGGTGTCATGGTCTTAAAGGTTGGGTTTTGATAGGGCATTATTGGCAAATTAGCCCCACTGACATTGCCCAGATCAGAGGCAACTGGTAAGGGGGGCATGTGCCCCCCCCCCCGAGATTGGCCCTCAACTTGGCACCACTCAGGATGGGGCAGTTTTCTTGCCACACAGGCTGGCGGTGTGTTAGGGGCAGGAGGGGCACTAAGCCACGGAACAGAAGTATGGGAGTAGATATGGGGCTTTTGGCCCGCCCCTGGGTCTGCCCACAAATTGTGCCCTGCCAGACTCAGGAGGCACCAGTCACCCGTGGCTCAGATAACTGCAGTTGTATACAACAGCAAGGGCAGTGCTTATGCAATTTCTTCCTCATTTTCAGCAGTTAATGAGTGAGGAATGCTTGTTCCTGGAAAGGATGGAAGAAAATCATTACAACACATACACATCTAAGAAGAATGCAGATAAGAACTGGTTCGTTGGCTTAAAGAAGAATGGGAGCACCAAACTGGGACCACGGACTCACTATGGCCAGAAGGCAATCCTTTTCCTTCCGCTGCCGGTGTCAGCTGATTAGAAGATCCTACCCCAAGCAGCGTAAGACAACCCTGAATCTTACGCATCAACTACCACCTCTTCTCTCTTTCTCTCTCTTTACTGGCTAGAGCGACAAAGAGATTAACTCTATGACCAGACGCTTTCAGTATTTAAATGCTTTAAATATTAAAATCAGAGCTGTTTAGTTTTGTACTAATCAAGTTTTGCAGAAATGAGGGAAACCCCTCCCTGAACAATGGACAAGTTGTGCCTTCACTTCCTTCTTGTTTTCCATTGTCCACTGTCAGAGCTGTACAATAGGAGCTTTGGCATTAGAGGTAAAATGTGTGCAATGAAAAATGCAAAATGACTCCAAAGGACATGCATATACTCTGCTACAGAGCGAGCACACAGGCACGTTATTGCCCTTAATGCATGGCTTAAAATAACACTAAATCATGTGGTTATTGCCAGGGGAATGCACACTTAGAGCCAGTGTGTGTGTTTTCTAGTCATAGAAAAGTGAAGCTCTCCTGGAATAGATTTATTAAAATATTTATCTAGACGGTATATAACACACATTAACAAAAATGAAGATGCATCAATATCCATTGTATCATGTGCAAGCAGTCAAGAATGGTGAAAAAAGTTTGTATAAAACTAACCCCAACCTATGCTTTTAAAACCTAGCCACTACTCCTTTTTTACTCCACTCATATTGCTAAATTCCTTATTAGTCCCCTTCATATGTAATTTGTATTTATTTATTAAGTGACTGTGTTCATTTTAAACAGGTCATTAATAGTAAGTATAGGCATTCAAAGTCACTTTATGTTTTCTGAGCAAGGATGTAGATGACTGAATGACGCAGATCTCATTTTGCCAGGGTGGTTTCAGGGGAGGGCATGGCAGAAAGGGAAGTGGTTACCTAACAATATTGTTTTAAAACAATTCACTGTTTTTATTTCACTCCAAAAGTCTATTTTTGACTTGAAGGTGTAATTCTATTTTGAACAGACACAAAAATGGCATCCCGCAGCTTCATGGTTAGCACCCTTCCAAATCATGAGCTGAACTTATCAATAAATAGATATTTTCTAACTACCAGCTCAGCCGTCTCGGTCAACCAAGGTTCCTCCCACCTCGTGCTTTAAACCAATAGCAAGTGCTAAGTCGATTGCATTCTCTCCACCATACCCGTGGAAGCCTCTTGACATACGTGTATTTGCATGAGTGGACCATGCCTGAAGCACAGAACAACTCCAGTGATACAGTACAAGGAAAGAGTGAATCCAGGTTACTTTCCTACAGCTGTACACAGCCTACAATGCTTCTGTGAATCAAATGCAGTAAAAGCTTATTTGTAGATTCATAGATGTTAGGGTCGGAAGGGACCTCAATAGATCATCGAGTTCAACCCCCTGCATAGGCAGGAAAGAGTGCTGGGTTCAGATGACCTCAGCCAGATGCCTATCTAACCTCCTCTTGAAGACCCCCAGGGTAGGGGAGAGCAC